GCTGTACATCAGTTAGGAAAAATTGTTATCTTATGCTTACTTTATGTTCATGTATTAGAAAAGTAAGCATAAGATAACAATTTTTCCTTACTTTATTGCATAGCCTACTATTCTACCAAATTTTGAGGTGGTAATAAGATAGATGGAGAAGTCATCAATGCACAGTGAGTACTTTTAACAGAGAAATATTACCTAAATTAACTGATGATGGACAGTGTGCATTATGGGTGAGAAAAAAATTTGAAAAATGTCTCAATCTGCTTAATTTTATAGGTGTAGAAACATGACAGTGAGGAATTGTGGGCTTGTCCAGGGTCAGTTTGTGAAGTATATTTTAGGTTCAAGTTCAGGCCATAATCTGTTAAAGGCAGTGGTTTGTACCTAGGGAGGAATATTAGTTCACTGGTTGTCCTTTCCCCCATTGCCAGTGTGTCTGTGTGTGTGTTTGTATACAAATTTGCCAAATGTGCCTTTTATCCATCCCCTTCCCAGGACATAGGAAATTGTACTCAAGTGTACGCATGTTAAAAACCAGGGATTCTGATGCACTTTATTGGTTAATAATCACTGTACAAGTCTTGCCTGCAAAACTTTTGTGCCTATATATTTCTTTTAAAATGGCAATTCATTAAGTATTTGCAGTTAGTTTGATAGAATAGATCTATGGATATATAAAGTTTTAGAAAGCTTGAAAGTGGAAATACCATTAAAAATTAGTGCATGTAAATTTTTTGTCATCCCTTTTTAGAACTATAGCTTTAAAGTCAAAATGTAAGCTTGAGGATATAAAAACATTTAACTTGATTTATGTTTGAAAGTATATTATTAAATTTAAAGATTGATTACAGAATCAGCTTGAGAGGATGGGGAAAGTGCTGGAGTTTTCCTTATGAGCAATTTTCTCTCATGAAAACTACCAAATGATCTAGAAACTTAGAGATTTTATTTACCTTTTAAAAGAGTGGTAGAACTTTCTAAAAAGTAAAAACTGTTTGTTGTTTCTCTGGACAGATGTTGCTTTCCTTTCCTTCTGTACTATAGCATCCTCTAGAAAAATCCTCAAAATCTTTTTTCAGTGAGTGTTCCAGACAGCCACTATCAGTTGATAAAATTGAAAACCAGTGGTCCTGGTTTCCTATGCCTCAGTGGACTCTTCTTTGGATACTGAAAATAATTGTGGCTTTTAACATGAATTAAATGGATGATAATTCACAGGAACTCATTCCTAACAAAATAAACAAAAGGCGGCTAGCTGTACTGCTGGAATTAGGACATTGTTTTAGACAGGAATGACAGACCACACAACTTGTGGGCCAAATGTGGCCTGTAGCTAGGAATGGTTTTTACATTTTTAAATGATTGAAAAAAAATCTAAAAAAGAATAATATTTTGTGAGATGTGAGAATTGCATAAAATTTAGTTTTTAGTGTCCATAAATAAAGTTTTATTGGAACACAACCATGTTCATTCATTTACTGTCTATGGATGCTTTTGTGCTTCATGAACAGAGTTGAGTACTTGCGACAGACCATATGGCCTGCAAAGCCTAAAATACTTACTGTCTGGACCTCAACAGAAAAAGTTTGCCATCCCTTTTTAAGATAACAGTGTAGGACGTAAATGATTGCTTTTGGAGTTTTTGGTAAAGGAGGAAACTTAGTTTGCTCATATTTTGAACAAGTTTTTCAAAAGGAATACTTAGAAATGGCTATTGTTTGTATATAGATAAGTAGTAGTAGCAGTCTTTCTTTTGTAGAATACAGTTAATGTAGTTACCAGCATAGGTTGTAGTATGTTAGTTCATGTTTTATCTTTCTGTTGAGGGAAGTCCCTGGCATCGTTACTGTCCACGGATGACCAGTGACTTAACAATTACATTTTGTTCATAGTACGTGATAGAGTGACTGTTCTCAAACTTTTTGGTCTCAAGACTTCTCTAGGCTCTTAAAAATTAACCCCAAAGAGCTTTTTTCTTGTATTTTTTAAAATGGAAATTATATGTGTTAATGTTTTTCATATTAGAAATGACAGCAAGTCAGTATTAATTTGTTAAAAATAGCAATAATAAATCCATTCTAAATTAGCAGGAGATTTTTATGAAAAATATTTTCCAAATCAAAAATAAATTAGTGAAATTTTTACAGATTTCTTTCATGATTGTTTTAGTAGGAGACTATTGAATGTTTCTGTTTCTCCATTCACTTTGTTGTAATACATTATTTTGATTGAAGTATATGAAAGAAATTTGGCCATGCATGAATATATACTGTAGTTACAAAAAAAGATAATACGTTAGTATAGTATGTAACTTATTTAGATGTTTGTGGGTTTTAGATGTTTCTTTGATTCCATAAAAACTCAAAAGGTTGTAGTTTCTTTTCTATTTTTAAAGCCTGGAATTATTAAAATATAATTTATATAAGATAAAATATATTTTAGCAGTAGATTTTTAATTTGTATTTATGATCCATATGCACTGATTCTATTACGCCATCATAACTGAGGTGTGGAATGTTTTCATCATCCCATGTTGTCCCACCCCCCTTTGTTTTTTTGAGACAGGGTCTCACTATATGGTTCAGGCTGGCCTTGAGCTCACTACGTAGCCCAGACAGGCCTTGAACTCACAGTGATTCTCCTGCTACAGCCTCTTTAAGTTCTGGAGTTACAGGCTTGTGCCACCATGCCCAGCCCCATGTCCTAGCTCCTAGCTGTGGCACTTCTGATCTGATTTCTATCTCCCTATAATTTTGCCTTTGCACAATATTGTGTAAGTGGAACCATGTAGTAATAGTGTTTTGAGTTTCTGTTTTTTTTTTTTTTTTTGCTTAGCATATTAAGTTTGAGATTTATCTATGTTAATACAACTGTCACTGGTTCATTCCTTGAAATTTTTGATTATCTGTTAACCTGTGGTGGACACTGGGTTGTTTTTGGTTTTGCAAATGATAAATAAAGCTGCTGTAAACAATTGCAACCAATTTTTATATGGACATATGTTTTCATTTCTTAGGTAAATACCCAAACGTGTGTTTGCTTGGTAGTATGGCAGGTGTACATTTAACTCTAGGAAGCTGTAAAACTGTGTTTTCCCAAAGTGGCTGGATAGCTTTGCATTTCCACCCAAATGTGTGAAAGTCTCAGTTGCTCACATATTTAGCAACACTTGCCGTTATCAACTGTTTTTATTTTCTTTGGTTTTTGCTATTCTAATTGATAGTGTGCTTCTCCCTAATGATTGATGATTTTGACTGTTTCTTATAGGATTTTTCTAGTCAAATTTCTTACTTGGCAAAGCATCTAATTGAATGTTTTGCCCATTTAAAAAATTTGAAAAACAGTTTGACAAGCTGTTTTCTTATTATTGAGTTGTGAAAGATCTTTCTATGTTCTGAAAATCAGTCGTCGTCTTTTGTGTTTTTGAGACAAGATCTCTCAAACCTTCAAACTCCTGGGCTTAAGAGATCTTCCTGCCATAGCCTTCCCAGTAGCTGGAACTACATGAATGCAATATCATACTCAACTTCAGCCTTTTTCTAGAAATGTGTTTTGCAAGCGTTTTCTTCTGTACTGAGCTTCCCCTCCCCACAGCTATCACAAGAGTATAAATTTTAATGTAGTAAGGTTCAATTCATTTGTTCTTTTTTTGTAGTTCATATGTTTTGAGACAGGGTCTCACTGTATAGTTCAGACTGACCTTGAGTTCACTACATAACCCGCTATGTAGCTCACTATGTAGCTTTGTGTTCAAAGAAATCTTTCCTAATTCAAGGTCAAAGTTTTTTTTCATGTTTTCTTTTGGAAGTTCAATAATTTAGTTTGTATTTTTAGATCTGTGATATATTTAGAATTAATTTGAAGTTTTTTTTACCATGTGAATATTAATTGTTTAGCATCAGCCTCTGCCTTCCTTAGTGAATTACTTTGACATCTTTGTTGTACACCACTTTATCATGTAATGTGTAGGTTTGTTTCTGGATTTTCTATTTTGTCTCATTGATGCATGTGCCTGTCTTTTCACTAAAACCCCACTGTTTTTGTAGCTGAGATTCTATGTTCAGCCTTAAAATCAAGAAGTATGAGTTCTTTCTTATGTCTCTTTTTAAAGAAGTATTTTGGGTATTATGATTAACTTTGCTTTTCTAAATAAGACTAGAGACAGTTTCTTAAAGCTTAGTTTCATTGTGGAATTTGATACCATTAATGAACTTTTTTGTACTTTAGATTAGAATCTGTTGATCTGTCTTGTACATAGGTTCTTTTTTACCCAAGAATGCTTTTGTAATGTTATATTTAATTCACTTAGAAAATACTGGTTCTGTGAATTATATAGACTTCCTAAATATTGGCATATTTCATTACTCCATATTTGAAGGTCACTTTGAGTATTGGGAAGGTAGCATACTAGTGGTGGCAGGCATAAGGTTTTCTAAACTTCTTATTTTTGCCTGAAAACTCAAATTTTATCATTGGTATTGTACATTATCAGTTGCTTTTCTTTAGCAAACAGATTCACTTGGTTCACTTTTGAGAAAATGTCTTCACCGAAGTCTGCACTGAGCTTTTTCTTGAGGCAACTGTTATACTTTATTATGCTACAGAATTGTTGGCTTATTGTTTTATCATGCAGGATATTAAGAAAAAATCTACTCAAGGATTGAAATTTCATGAAGTTAACAGTTGCTACTGCTTTTCATCAAGGATGTTGTTGAATGAAGTAAGACAGGCATTATCAAGAGAAATCTTATGATCTATACAGACATGTCGAGTTATGGCTATTTTATACTTGAAAAGTTTTGAAACTAACTAGGAAACACAAATTCAGTTATAACACGGGGAAGGCAGTAAATTATTTACAGTTTAATAACATCTGAAGTTGATATCTTGGGAGACAATCTTGTAAGAGCTAATGTATAATATAGTTTAATATAATACAATATGTTTAATATAATTATAATATGTTTAATATAGTTATATTAAATTGTTTTATTATCTTATAGGTGCTATACTTGGTAGATCAGAAACTCAGGAGTGTCTTTTCTTTAATGCTAATTGGGAAAGAGACAAAACCAATCAAACTGGTGTGGAACCCTGTTATGGTGACAAAGATAAACGGCGACATTGTTTTGCTACCTGGAAGAATATTTCTGGTTCCATTGAAATAGTGAAACAAGGTTGTTGGCTGGATGATATCAACTGCTATGACAGGTGAGGACATATTTTTTTTTTATAATGATAGTATTGAGGACTTTTCTTTTTCCCCTTCTCCTTTTTGAGAAAATTTCAATACATGGACTGTGACATAAATGTTTCTTGCCTTTTAAAAAATGGAATTATTAATGTTATAGCAGGCTATAATGACAAGATAATGTATTTGGAAATAATAAATATGGCATGATAATCTTTAGTTCTTGATATATTTTGAAGAATATTTCAAGTAGTGAGGACTCTTAAAAATCATCTCTTTCCCCCATGTTGTGAGAATTATAACTTTTATGTGAATTTTAAGGATTGAGGATTTAAAAAAAATTACTTTAAAAGAGAATACGTCTGTTGAAAAATTTATCCTCAAGGAGAATAAAGCTTAATTGTAGTATTTAATTTACTTTCAGTTTCCTTTATGTACCTGGAAGAAATTGATCTCATTAAATTTTCCATTTTTTTCCCTGCAAAGTAGGCCTTTGTTCTTTCGCCCAAGAGACATTTTAACTTGATACTCAGAATATATCAGAACTAACATAGTTCTCACAGAAAGCTATATTTTATTTAAAAGATCTTGCTTAAATTGTTCTGCACTGGAAATAAAATATAGTAGTGATGTTATTGATAGCCTGCGATCTGTCTATAGGAAGTCCTATAGATACTGGGTTGATTACTTAACTTGCCTGGGCCAGAGGATTTCCATTGTGGGTAAATGGTGAAGGCTGGCAGAGGTAGCAGAGACCTAGATAATCAAACATTTAGGAGTCAGAAAGGGGTGCTACATGTCCTGAATACTAGAGCTACTTCTTTAGGAGCCTGAAATGATTACCTGTAGTCTGTGATTGGTTTTCTATATATGACTAATAGCAGAATGCATTGAATAAGTTCTGAAAATTGAATTAGCTCAACTGTACAGTGAAAAATGAAAATATATCATTGAAATATCTAAAACTGTATGTTTTCCAGGGATTATTTCTTTATACATACATGATTTAGTTAGAGTTTTGATTATTGGTTTTTCTACCAATGCACGTGGCCATCTGGTGATAAGTGCTGTTAGGAAATCCAAATAGGAGGAAATAAGAAAAAAAAATTAGGTTTGAGAATTGTCTTTGTTCTAAACTATCTTTCATTAAGTATTCGAAATGAATTCCTACTTTTTTTTCCCCCTTCATAGTAAAAAGCTACTATGCTTCTTCCCTAAAACTGGCGTGTCTGCTGAGTGCTTTATTCAGTGCAAATGAATTTATGTATGGGGATTAAATGCTAATATAAAATTACATGAATTTTGTTCTTACGCTCCCAATTTGATTGAAAAACAAATAGTTGGGATAGGAAGAGAAAAAAGAAAGTCAAGAAATGTCCAAGTATGGAGGAAAAAACAGTGATAAAAGAAGAATGAAATTGGATGATGAAGAGTAATTTTCTTGAATTAATTAGGCTAAGTATATAATCATGTCACTGTCCTATAATTTGAGGCAGGATTCTAAATTTTAATTTAAAAATTTATACATTTTTCATTGTAAATTGTTAAAATGTAGCTTGCATCTGTCTTTTTTACCTTCTACTAAGTAGATATTAGTGTAGATTGTATTTTAAAATTAGATTTTGTTAAAACTGTCATTTCCCTGAAATTTCTTAAACTTTTCACCTCAGAGTAAAAAACAATATTATTGGAACCACCAGCACAAAGCTTTAGTATATTTGTGAGATGTGTTTAACTTCACCTGATATTTATCAATAATATTTAAAAGTTTGATTAAAAAATAACTATAGTTGTTTCTTAGTAATTAAAGTTTGTTCTAGGGGCTAAATAGGTCTTTCCAGTTTCAGTGTCATACAAAAGGCTGCTTTTTTTTGTGTCTTCCAAATTCAACCTACTTCTGATCAGCTTGGGTTATTAGGTCCTTTATATTTGTTTTCATGTATTTGTTGTCTACTTGTTGCTTTCCTCAACTTTATTCATTGTTTTTAAGAAACCCAAATCTACTACTATAAAAAATGACACTGTTAATTTCCAAGTCTAGTTTGGGTCTCTAATGTTGAAATGTGTATGTGCATGTGTATGTGCATGTGTATATCTATATGTGATTTATAAACAGTTTTATGTGTAGTTTTTAATATTCATGAAATAGGAAAGCTGAACTTCTTGTGATCAAAAGCATTCCCAGTCTAAATTACCTCATTGCCTTTGTATATTTGTCTTTAGGTCTTCCTAATAATTAAAAAAAAAAAAAGATGGTTGCCTTGGATTGCTTATTAAAAACTATATTAAAGCAATAGTCTTAGGGAGTTACTGTGATTGCTATAAGATCAACTTTTTTTTTTATTATGAAGTTTAGTAACAGGAGTCTAGGAACATTTTTGGCTTTTAAGAATTGATCATTAAATATTAATAAAAATGTTGAAATTAATGTAAGTGATGCATTATTTTATCTTTGAGGAAAACTCTATATGATCAGCATGATATTTATTTTAATTATTTCTCCTCTGTTTGTTTATAGGACTGATTGCATAGAAAAAAAAGACAGCCCAGAAGTATATTTTTGTTGCTGTGAAGGCAACATGTGTAATGAAAAATTTTCTTACTTTCCAGAAATGGAAGTCACACAGCGTAAGTTCACAGGGAAAATATATAGGTCATCTTGGCTAGTAGATTGAAAACACAGTATGTTTGTGTTGCAAGAATAATTTAACCCTATTTCTCAAATTGTTTCCCAAAAATGTGACACTGTGATAAATGTTTATTATAGAATTATGTAGATTATGTCTGAATTGTTTTTTCTTCCATTTTTACAGCTACTTCAAATCCAGTTACACCTAAAGCACCATATTACAACATTCTGCTTTATTCCTTGGTGCCACTTATGTTGATTGCGGGGATTGTCATTTGTGCATTTTGGGTATATAGGCATCACAAGATGGCCTACCCTCCTGTACTTGTTCCAACTCAAGTAAGTTATTGTCCTACATTTTGCACTGTTTTAGGTCTGACGTTTTAAAGAAATATTAATGTCGCTAAACTCATAAGCTTAACAAATTATTTTCCTTTGGAGTTAATTTTTGCATATTTATCATAGAAATTAAATTATAGCTAATTTTGAAAAACCAAATTTTCTCTCTTAATCTTTTCTTAGAGATTGAGGTATAGCAAAATTAGGAGTATTCCCATCCTGTTTTTCTCTGAAGAGTTTTACTTTCATTCTAATACTTTTAAGTATGGGATGTACCCTCTTTGCTTTCTGTAAAAAAATGGAGAAGTGGTGAAAACCTTTTCTTTTTTTCCTTCCTATCTCCTATTTTTAAGACTACTCTTTTTTTCCAAGACTACTCTCCAAAACATCCTTTTAACCACGAAGATGCTCTCAGATAGGTAACTGAGAAAACATAGAAAAAAGAGGTTTTATGATGCTTCAGGAGCATATTATGTGTTATTTGTAGTACAAGTATATTTTCTTTTTTTGCAGCATTTAAGGTGTATATTGAAAGCTAAAAACTTAATGCCCTCGCTGCTCTCACCCCACCCTAAATATTTCTGGAAATAGTTTTCATTGCAATCAGATAAAATGCACTAAATTTTCCTTGACAGTTGGCACTAGTCCATTGCTTTACGAGGCCTTCTCATAGAAGTAGTTAATATTGTGCAGGCCCAGGAAGCTGATAACTTGTGGTTATACTTCTTGAGACATCTCTAGATTCTAGCTTTTATGGTGTTTCTTTTACCTCTTATGATCAGATTACCTTAGCTTTCTGGATCTCTTGGTTTATTATTTTAATACCAGTAGGATTAATGGTTAAAACTTAGTAGAAAAAACAATGAAGTCCTATAATTTTATGACCAAAACAACTTCTTGCCTCTAAGCTTTGTTTATATAACACATTTCTTTCTCAGTACTTTCAACAATCTGTTAGCATTAGATCACTGATCTTTATAATCTTTTGACAATATGTATATAGAGAAATAAAGCCAAAGGTAAAATAGCTAGTTCAGTCAATTAGATAAACACAATAGTTTATATTGGTCAAATATTTAACTTTCAAACATTAATAATTATACACAGATTTGTTAAAAACCATTTGTAACAGTTTAAAAAGAAAAAATTAGTACCTAATGTATATGGTTTATTCCAAATGACCATAAGATACACTTTACCCTTTGTCAGTGATAACTTAGATATTTGTTTTAGTACCTAAGTTTAGAAGTGTTCAGTATTGTAACAGTTTCCTAAATTTATCCTATATTTGTGATGATAGAAACAAGCTGAAACTCACATTTAAATAAATATGCTAAAGTTTTTATAGTAAAAATTTTTAATCAATAATGTAACTTTATAGATACAACGTTGACTTGTATCCAATAGTGATACAATAGTATGGTTAAGAAATTTTAAAACCAGCTTGGTAGCCTATATAACAGACCATTTCACTTAGAAATGCTGATTAATTCAAGGGTTTAAGATTTTTTAAAAAGGAAAGATGCTGCTACTATTCTTAACATGGGAGCTTTCATGAGAACCCATCTCTGTGATTTTACATATTTTTGCTAGTGTTAATCTTACTGAACAAAAATTATTTAGCAGTTGCATTGTTTCCTATCATAAATTTGCACAAATTGTGTCAATTTATGAAACACATGGAATAAGTTTAAAGATTTTGGGATGGAGTAACCTGGCATGATAAAACTTTGTTATGAAAAATACAAAAGTACAATACTGACTTTATGCTTTCCTTTTGTCATAAAGTGTGTGGAAAAGCATTGCCTTCAGGGTGGAGTTCACTTTTGTCATGTCTCACTATCTCTGTAACAGACCAGTTTCATGCTTTTAGGTCTTGTTTTTGGTAAGAGATTAATGCAAATTATAGTTCCACGAGACTACTTAATAGCTAGGCATTTACTGAAGATTTAAGTGCTTACTCTGGGGTATGTTTATGTTATGCATAAACATATAAATTATATAAGAATCTATAGAATGCATGTAAATATATAGAAAAAAATATAGTGATTTTTCAGATAGTAATACTGGATCATCTTCTTTGAGATCTAAAAATATAACTTGTTGGGCCATTAAAAGGCCCTTTAAAAGGATGGAATGGAGACTCTGTGTGTGTGTGTGTGTGTTGTTTTGTTTCTTGAGATAGAGTTTTGTTATGTAATCCAGGCTGGCCTTGAACTTGCTATACAGGCAGGCCTTGAACTTGAGATACGATTGGTCTATTTTCTGAGTGCTAGGATTACAGTCTACACCACCATACCTGGCTAATACTGTGTTTTTAATAAGTTTCCCAGGTGATTCTGGTAACCGTGGGAAGTACTCATTTAATTTTTACTTCACAGGACTCTGTATGTAGTGTAATTCCAATTTTATAGATAAAGAAACTGACATAACAAAACTCAGAAGTGTCAGCTGTGGCACTGAAGCTGTGCTTTGTAATGCTGATGCTGATTTGTTCTGCTCTTTCATAGAGTGGATACTTCTGGTGTTTCAGACAATTCAGTTAACAACTTTGCCATCTTAGAACCATCCTATAGACTAATTGTTTTTTTTTTTTTTTCTTCACTTTTAGACATTGAATAGTTTGTATCACTTCTGAAATGAGCAGTAACAGCATCTCAGATTAATATCACATGGGGCAAAAGGAAAGTGAAAAGTCATAGAAAAGCATATTTGTATGTATTCTTTTAAAATCTTTTAGCATACTTTAGATGAAGATTTATGAATAGTGTGTGATTGGAGGTTTGCAAACAAAATCCTCATGCTTCTGATTTGATTCTACTAGTGCCTATTAGTTTTCAAGTTTGGTTTTTTTTGAAGGATAGGAGTAGTAGTAAGTACTACTAGGAGAGAGAAATACTGTAAAGTCTAAACAATTTGATGTCTTGAAGAATTCCACCATTTAATTATTAGAACCAGCTTATGTGACCATGATCAGAACAATGCCTTTCAACAGACCAGTTGATTCATAAACTAGCCTTAATCTATGGCAAAATTTTCCTAAGAAAAGCGATGATAAAAACATTTAAAGAATATGGAGGGAAATGATTCAGAAGTCCATGGCAAGATCACATAATCTTTTCCTAATTTAAAGTGAGGTAGGAATATAAATACTTGAAAATCTGGTTTGGTTAATTATAGCTCTTAGTAATCAACAAATAATTTATTCTAAAATCTAGCAAAAAAATCTAAAATCTAGTCAAAGGCATAGAACAAGCAGTTTGCTGGTTTTTAAAAGTTGAAGCTGTTCTTGAGAACTCATTAACTGCTGTGTTTCTCCCACTGTTTCATGGTATCACTTTCTTTCCAGTCATGCTGATGAAAGCCTTGCAGACAGCTTCTGTTTTTGGTTTTGTCATTTACAAAATTGTGTTCATTCAAGACATTATTAGATGTAAGGTTGAGATTTCTAGAATCTTATTGTTTTCTTACTTCCATTTCTCTCTTTTCACCTGTACCTGTGAGAATAGCATTTTTCGTGTTTGATCATTTTACTTCTGTGCTTAAAAATACTTGGGAGCTCTCAATGATCACGGCAGAGAATACAAAGTTTGGAGCATGGCATGAGGGCTTTTATTCTTTATCTGCCTTTTGATTCTTTCTTCCCGCTTCATCCCACACCATCCATCATATACCTGAAACTATATTACTTGGATACCTTCCTTGAAAGGATTGATAAAATAAAAATTCAAGTCATTTTCTGTTGTCTGTGATTCAGATGGCCAACTTCAAGTTGAAAATGGTTGATAGTAATTTGATTTCATGTGTTATTGATTGCAGGCCCTTTGAACGTAAAGTAAGTATTGTGATTACTACTCTATTTCACATAGTATTTGTAATAACAGTTATGTAAGTGCTTTTATAAAAGTATGGCATTGTTAAATTCTTTCTGTAATCAGACTGAAGCATCCTATCAGTTTATTACCTGGTCAGTTTTCCTTTGCCTGTGCTGAAACTGTCTTTCCACATAGGAAGAGGCAGTGAGTAAACTCAAAGCAAACTGGTTTTTCTGGTGACGATGAGTCATGAATATGAGGGACTCTATTATTAAACAGTCTTATTGTGGTTAGAGTTAATGTGGTTTCAGTAAAACTGCTGGCAATTATTTCATAATCATATGTGTGCTTAACTTTTCTGCTTATAAGGTTTATATTTGTGCTGATAAAGCATACTAATTGATAAGAAAATGAACTTTAAGAGCTAGACGTGGCCTACCTTTAACAAGATATGTAGTTAATTTTTAAAGGATATATAAATAGCACTTTGTGTTACCACATTAGTACTTTTTTTTGGTACTGGGACTTGAACTCAGGGCCTTATGCTTGCCAGGCAAGTGCTGGCCCCAGAGCTGTATCCTGGGCCTCAGCATTAGTACTTTTTACGATGACATCGGCCTCTTTATTTTTTTTATTATAAATTTTTTTTAATTTAAAGAGAGTGTAACCCAACAAAACAAAACAGAACAAAGCCATCCAATACAAAGCAGTGAAAGTGGTACAGAACCCCAAAACAGGACAGCAGGAAATCAGCAGTGGCCACCACAATACATCCTGACACCCTCACAGTAGTTGTGCATACTGTCACACATAGCAAAGCCAAACCAAAACCAAAATCAATCAAAACACAACATTGAATAAAATTAAACAATGAATCGGAACAAAACAATAATACTGCACATTGTTATCTTCAGAATAGTTGCTCAGGTTGCCAGATGTAGGGATAAAACAAAACAGTAAAATGGAACAAAACATTGAATTTCAAAAACAAAACGTGAGGAAATCGGCCACAGTTGATACAGTACACACTGCCATCCTCCAAGTAGATGCCCAGACCACCAGTGTGAGGCCGCAGTCAACCAAACAACACAAGCATCGAGCTGTTCTCTTGCCCTCAGTTGCTATCATCCCACCCTGAGTCCTCTGAATCAGCGTGGTGGGGTTGAGGGAGACTGGGGGGATTGG